ACAGTCAGCAGGAATCCTGCTGCAGACTTCTCCGGAGCTCCACCACAGCCTGTACTGTCAGGGGAAGAATGGCTTCCAATGAGTCTCTGCAAGTATTGTGCAAGGTCCTCCTGGTTTACAGCTTCCGAGTGGCTCTGGGGACCCCAGTGCTCCCCGCCCGAGGCTCCCCGTGCGCTAGGGGCCCACCCTCACGGACGCAAATCTGGTTTTTCGCATGCCATTGTACTGAATTGGGCTACTTCTACCAGAAAAATTAAAAGAAAACTTTAAAAAGGAAAAAACCAAATCCTAAATGCACAGAAACTTAGCAATGAGCATTTCATGGGTAAAGCTTACCTATTGCTGCTTTGGAGCTCTAGTACAGAGCTTGCCATGTCTGCCAAGAGCATGAATGCACAGGTAGGTCTTTGCTTTTCCCCAGTACAGCTACTGTGAGTCCCACTCACATTCCATTATGGTGCAGTACATGTTTACAGGAGAATGGTACCAGCGTATCTCCTGTGATGCTCAGGTAAACTGGATGTAATGGCACATGCTGGAAATACCAGCACTCAGGAGGCTGACACAAGAGGATTGCTGTGAGTTCGAGGCTAGCCTAGGGTACGCAGTGAGTTCAAGACCACCCTGTACCACACAGCGAGACCCTATCTGCGGCAGGGAGGAGACCAACACATCCTCAGGTAAACATGCAAAACCTGTTAAATGGACACTGTGTGGGTAAAAATCCCAGTCTGCCACTTTTGCACACATGTACACACCTTGCCGTTTGTTATACCAACTGGGTAAACATGAAGATTACTTCCTGTATCTCCCAGGTACAGCTTACTGAGATGCTAAAGTGCAAATTTTACAGTAGAAAACTATGGGATGAGTTGTGACCCAGTGTTGTGTCCTAGGCTAGAATTTATGGTTTTGTTTTTTGTTTTTGAGACAGGGTCTCACTATGCAGTGCAGACTGGCCTTGAACTCATGGCAATCCTCCCACCTCAGCCTCCACAGTGCTGGGATTACAGGTTGTGCCACTAAAACCAGCCTAAAATTTTTTTTTTAGTACCAGGAATCAAACTCAGGACTTTGCACAGGCAGGTGCTTATGCCCCTGAGCTATATCCCCAGCCCCAAATTTTATATGGTGTAGTACACCATCAAGGGCAAAAAGACAAGAATGGGGGAGGATATTTACAAATTATGTATCTGATAAGAAACTTGTTTCAAAGCCGGTCATGGTGGCACAGGCCTGTAATCCCAGCACTCGGGAGGCTGAAGCAGGAAGACTGTTGTGAGCTTGAGACCAGCCTGGGCTACAAGGTGAGCTCAAGGCCAGCCTGAACTGCATAGTGAGACCCTGTCTCAAAAAGATGACAAAAAAAA